AGAAAAAAAAGATATTCCGTCATTGTTTCCCACGAGACCGTTCCCAGTGTTATGATTTCCGTACAGGAAGTATTGTTGAATAATAATAATAGGTAAACCGATTACGGACGTTAGATTCTACTATAAAATACAAGTTGCGTCACTAGTGTGTACGTTTTATCAAGTCTAGCAAAATATAAATACATGTAGGTACATATGTATTTTAACAATGTTGTAGTTTTTATACAAGCACACAATGTGTGTGTGTGTTTGTTAAATATTATTTTTTTACAAAGTGTTAAAACTGTGGGAACGACAATGGAAAAAAACAGAAAGTTATAAATTCTATAAAATATTTCTTAGGAGCTATTTAAGTTAATTAGCGCGTGTTTGAAAAGATATATTTTACATACTAGTTCTTGAGAACAAGCATAGCCGCAACTCCAACTTAAAATTTGAAGGTGCCTAAGAATAATATATATAAAGTAGACTTTTATCTACAATAGTCATATGTAAATGAATAAGATACATTTTTTTGTAAAACGTGTTATTGCTAAGCACCTTTGAGATTTGCACTTATGCGCATAGCTTAATAAAGACAATACTTTTTTAGAAAAAAATATTTTGCAACACATAAAACAATATTTTAGTAAAGTAATATTTTTTTATTTCAAATACTACGAATTTAGAATGAAACGTAGAGACATAAATATTATAGCGTTTGAAAGATGATAGTTGATAAGTTTCAAAGGTCGCTACATATTACACCGCCATTTTTAGTACTAAAATACCTAAGAGTTAGGAAAGATCTCTAAATATGTTTATCATATAAACTTTTTTTCTAAGTTGTTTTTATGCCTTAAAAATGAATATGTACATGACCTCTTTAAACATTTATTGAATAAAATGTTGGTTTAGTGTCTTAAAAAGTTAAATAAAACGATTTATAATCTACAAAATATTTTTAGTTATTAAATAGTTTTTAACGTCCACAGTTTTGCTTAGAATCGTTAATTTGAAAGTGATTTTGTCACTTTCAGTTATGATAATTTTTTAAGGCTAGTGACCTCGATGTCTCTCTTATACAACGACTATGATGGCTTTTTGTTATATTTTTTTAAACGTTTAAAATCATCTTAAACCTGACAAAATATAGAATAAAATTGTTGTCGTTGAGTATGAGCGGTGGAGGTTAGTTATGCGTTGCTCGGGCGTAAAAAGTGTTTTTGTATTATGCAACGCCTAAATATGATATCAATATTATATCATAACAATTCATTTGTATCCATAATCCTATTAAATACAATCATCATCACCGGAATAACGATTTTGATCGTGGCGAGAATTCTATTATGTAGGATTCTGATTTGATTGTTATTATTATGATTATCTATATCTAAAAAACGCAGTGCACAAAATCACACATACTTATCTATTCATTGAATAAGTTTGCAACTAACTCGTTGTCGCCTTTTCCTGCGTACATAATTTTCACGGATTCACAGTTTTTAATATAAATACAATTATTAGTGCTTGTAAAATTGTCTGATACATATTATTACTTCTTATAGCAATTAAATTGAATGTTTTAGCACCCATGCAAAGTTGAGAAAATAATGGTCTTATATGCGTTTTTATTTTTTGTTCTTATTGTTAGTGGGAAAAGAAATTACCCACCGAGAACTAGGCCGTAGGTGCTTCCAATTTTATTAGGCTGTTGAAGTAAAGACTTATTTTGATTTGTTAGATAAATGCAACGCAGAGCCGAAAGTAATTTTTTTTATTTCCTATTTTGGACTACTACGAACATTTAATTAGTTTAAAGTACTTTTCAATATATATCTTAAGAATACATATTGAATGTTAGCAAACAGAAATTTGAATTGTTAGTGTACACATGCATTAATTACTGATATAAATTAAAAAAATAGTTTATAATTAAAAATATTTATTTATACTTAGAAATTATAATATAATAACTGATTACATTAGTTAAACTATAAAATATAAAAATAAAACCAAAATTAGTAAAATCGTGGTGTTTATAGAGTTATGTTCATAGTAAACTAGAATTTATCATTTTAAGCAGAATACAAATATTTTAAAGTTTTTATTTCAGTATAGTTAAAATATTCAGAATAATTCATAATAAATCGTTTGACTTGATGGGGATGGACATTTCTAGATCTTATGGTTTTTGATTACAGACTATACTTTACTACCTATCAGATATAATAGAATACATATGTATCTCTATAAAATATAATAATGTGAGTTAGCAACGCCTGTGTGTGTCTTTGCTCTATACACATATGTATGAAAGTAGCCAGTCTTTAACTCCTTCTATTTGTAGCTATCAGGTTTTGTTTGCTATAACATTATTCAACAGCGGATAATGTACATGTGGAGCTAAATTAAAACTTTATACATGTAAACAAATAGTATAACATTCAAAGAATCATTTTTACAAATAAAAGGTTAGTAAAAAACAAATTATCATTGAAAAATTCAAGGGGTGGCCTATAGGCAAAATATAGTATCATAATTTTATATCTAATATAAATTATGAAACATTCACATTATTAATTAATTTATAAAACGATATAATATTTACTAGTTTAGTTATTTAGATTTTAAGTTATTACTTATTTAGATGTTATTTAGAAAGATTTTGGTTTTATAACAATTAATTTGTTGCTTTATATTATTACACTTAACGTATAATACAACACAATTAAAAAAAAAATGATTGAGAAGGCTTTTCTAAATTAATTATAACATATGAAAAATAGTATACATAATAGTTAAGTAAAGTGTTGTTTATGAGTAAAAAATGTTTTAACTATACAACCTGAAATTTATGTAACACAACTAGGAAACTATAAAGCTACTAATTAAAACTACTATATTGAATCGGGCGTACTTTTTAACTGAACTCAATTGGCAGCTCAAATTGTAATGAAAATTAAAAAGTTGCTACTCTCAATTAAATCTACGCATCGTAATCAATATGAATACTTAAATTGTACTGAAATATAACATGTGCCAATACAATTACTATGGTAAGTTATGGTGTTTAAATAAATTCGTCCATAAGGTTAGTAAGTACTTAGTTGTAACTTGTAAAACGCTTTTCAATGAATGATATGATAGGTGGCCAAACCATTTTAAATTCTGAGTGAATTCGCTTTTTGATAAATTTTCATTTGGTTGTAAATTTTCAAATGATTGTTTGTGCGTTCAAATAATGTCAATGACAAAATGTTGAATTCATTAAACTATGAATTCGTTTTGGTTGTATCCTAGATTTCTACTATACTCAGACTTTGGATTTAGCAGTATATATAGCACTTATTCATAGCCTGCTAATATCTTTAATTATACTTTTTGACCGCTTGTACAAAGGTAAGCTAATTTTAACTTTGGGAAGCTCCATATTATTATGTCTGTAAAAGCTCAACAAATTAATAGTCAATATCTAATCCTCTCCAATCGTGTTTAAGTAGAATATCAGTTTTGATTAGAAATGGATGGATCTCCGACACCGATATCTTCTAACGCTGGTTCTATGGGGTCGTTGTTTGGTCGTTACCTAACCGCAGACCGTTTTTGACCGATGGACGACTCGCATCATATAAGCCCGACAGCGCCGATTATAATTATCTGATGTATATTATATATTTATAATTTTAATCAATACACGCGTGTAATTGCGGGCGCATTTAATTTTCCGGACACAAAAGGACCGGCGTATGTGTAATAATACTTTATACCACTGCTTGGCGTCCAGGACCTCCCGCGTACGCTTCAGTCGATTAATCTCACAATGGGCTTTTTCCCGATCGTGAGAATCAGACGATATCATACTACTATTATTATTGTTGTAATCCCGAGGTCGCATACACCGAGTGTCAAAACAATGGTCGAGGCAAATAACCTCAAAGGGCCTCGGGCTAAGACGTGTGTGCGCCGGAAGTAATGAGAAACCGGACAATGATCTGCAAGATCTTCTCCGCGGTGGATTTCGAAGAAAAAACACACCGGACTTAAGAAATCGCCCGTTGATTTGCACTTTAAGACTCACCGGTGACTCGAATAACAAACGCGGTTTTATTTGTATGTATAGATATAATATGTATGCGTTATGAGTACATATTGTATTATGTTAGTTGCCAAGCTTAATAAAAGCGTTCTAAACAAATTAAAGCATAGATGTCTATTATAGTGTACAACTACAATTACATACATACCGTGTGCACTGTACCAACACTTTTTAAGGGTTTAGTGCAAGCAATGCCTCGATTATACCTACCATATTATAATTAAAAACTGTTTCATTTTTTTCCAACAAAAATAATAGTGTTGGGCGTCTTAATCTAATGTACATTGAACATATCACATTTATTAACTCTTTCATGATGTTCCCTCACGTAATTTAAATTAAAACTGATGTTATCTTAACACGAAACTGTTATGGTTGATTTATAAGAGCTCACTTAAGCAAAATATGAAAAAAATTGTCACACAACTACAGTCATGTTTTTTTATTTTTAAGAGATATCTCGTGAAAGACTTTTTAACGGTTCGTTTAATATCGTCTTTCGTCTAAAGACATACCGACTCGTTTTTACTGTCTCAAGCTAGTCGAGGGGAAGATCTGTGCGGAGATCATTTTTGGTCACACACTATATAATTATGTATATTTTTTTTTAGCTGAATACCAAGGGTTGGCGTTGTCACTACTCAACAGTTGTAGGAAACATATTAAATATTTTTTTGTTGTTAATATCGATCAAGGCAAATAGCAACGTACAAATACGTTTGAAATTTTTAATTATTCTGACACACTGTGTTGTTTTTCTTTGACTGTTAAATATTGTATTTCATGTGTCGCATACTTAATAATTATTATTATTGGACAAGCGACCGGGGTGGCGCAATTTGTACACAACATTTATATAACGTTAAACAACGTATGATTTTATTATATATATATAAAAAATAATAATATATATCTAAAAAATTAAAAAAAAAAAATCAACTATTCGAATATGAATAATAATTGTATAATATAATCAGTTGCCCGTGTAGGACAATGCGAATGATCCCGTCAAGGGATCAAAATGTTGGATGGACGGATGGTTCTGGTACTGCAGTTTACTATCGGCGGACCTGGATTTCTGGCCACTGTTCCAGGACGGTTGCTGCTGATGTAGTTGATGTTGCTGTTGTTGTTGCTGTTGCTGTTGTTGGTGGAGTTGCTGTTGCTGTTGGTGCAGCTGCTGCTGTTGGGCAAACCGTTGTTGTTGCAAAGCGTATTGCTGTTGTTGTAAGGCCAATTGTTGTTGTTGGACGGCCGGCAGTGGCTTTTGTTGTTGTTGCTGTTGTTCGGACCTATAGTAAATGCTGGGATCCTCGTGGTACTGCCCGTCGTCGTAGTCGTCCTGCTGCTGAGACTGATCCCTGGCATGGACGTCGTTGGATTCGACGGCCGACACCGGCGGCGGCACAGTAATGCCGGTGCCCACCGGTTCGAAGCCACGAGCCGAAGACGCCCCGTATTCGACGGTTCGCAACTTGCCGGTCTCGTCCACGTAGCCGTACTTGCCGTAAACCTCGCCGGTCGGGTACTTGGTCTCGATTTTGAATGTGCCGTCCGCGTTTTCAAACCCGTAACTGTAAGACCCGTCTTCGTTCTGTCGGTTCACCTGTTTCAGGATTGGAACGGGTTGACCGGTTGGTACGGCCGGCGCGGCTAGGGCGCCACAAACGCAAAGTGCGACTAACGTCTGAAATGTATAAAAAATATATAAGCATTTAATATAACCACCATAAAATAACAACTTACAAGTGTTTGTTTCTTATGACTTTACTTATATACGTTGGTAAAATATTTTAAAGTTCAGTCTTAAAAAATAACTAGTATAGCTTTAACGTAAAAGATTCGATTGGCAAAAACGAAGAAAAAACTGTATCAATTATGAACAATTTATGTCTCAAGTTAAGCAAAAACTTTACTATATTTTATTTTTATCTACAACTTGCAAGCACGTCTGCTCATTGCCTCCACTACACATTCTATTACTTATAGTCAAAGCAAACCAAATAATTTATCAAAGCTATTTATCAGTCGCTTGAAAAAACACTTATTAAAATACCTAAATAAGCATATAGAATTCTGTGTTAAAACCAATCCTTAATTGCAAAAAAATCGGTATCGGAAAAAAGAAAAAATGCTGAAAGATTAAGATTATTTCGATTTAGAAAAACAATTTACAAAAATAAATAATTACAAATAAAAAACGTCTTCATAGGAATTAGCTGAGTTAGCAAACCACACTGTGTTAATATCTTTAAAATTGTTAATTTTTTATTTATTTTAGTTACAATACGAGTAATTTTTATAGTTTTATAATGTTATAAATTTTCTATACAATAACTATAAATGAACTATGCAGTTATACATTTTTCATGATAAATATCAGTTTTGAAGATCGAGTGAAAAGAACCAATAGATTTTTACAACATTTAATTTGATTCTATACACAACAAATATATGTAAGAAACCAATTTTCAAAATAAATTATCATATATCTTAACTGCAATACGAAGCTGATAAAAGCGAAATACAAGTAAAATAAACATAAGTATTCACATTATATTATTTTTTAACAATATAACCAAATTGATTATAAAAGTTTCAAGTTCACGAACTGCAAGTTGAAGTGTACACAATGGTCGATTATGTACATGAATAAATAAAGAAAAAATACACTTTAATAGTTAATAATAATAGAATTGATATAATAAAAATGTTCTTTAGTTTTTATTTTAATTGATGTATTCATTTTGTTTTAAATTGACACAATAATTAATAACTTACAAAAAAACTTACTGTTAATACTTTACAACTGCTCATGGTGACGATCTTCGATATGCGTACGATCAAGTTGAACGTCTTCATCGACTGTGGAACTGATCGGCTGTTGGTTAAATAGTCACCGTTCGTTTTCTCCACCCATTGTCCATCGCAAAAATGAATACGACCTCTACCGAACGAGCATCAACTAGTTTTTTTTTTGTATAGCGATGCACCACACGAGGGAGGTATTCCAATTGATTTTTTCAAGTCAAGATTTAGCCTTGAGCAATAGAAAAATAACATTATTAACCGCCACCAATAAGTAATCTGGTAATTAGGCAATAGTTGATATATGCATATCACTTAATATTCATTATTCATAATAATACCATCCACACGGTTCGGATTAATTTGTTTGTAATATGTTTTTTTAACTACCTAGAGATAATACAATTAATACTCTTTATTAAAATTGTCAAAGTAGTAATATTTGAAGTATAAGGCTGTATTTATAATATGTAGGTATATTGATTAAATATTAACTAGGACGAGAGTATTTTCAGCTTATAAGTGAATTCATATTTATTCATTAATGTATTAATTAATAATTTGTTAGATTTTAATCATTATAGTATTAGAGCTCAACAAAATGGCTAGTAGCAATACTCATACTTATGCTACGTTTATAAAATAATATTTAAAAAAAAAATGTATATCAAGAACCTTAGTCATTTTCGATGCAAATCTGAGATGAAACTAATTTAATTATGATGATAAATGTGTTATTCGTTTCGTTGCGGCGACGTGTAAAATGAACAAATTATGTTTTTTTTTTTTGCTCTCGATATTTTTTTGTTCGCTGTGACGATGTTTTAATACCTATTTCATACATCACAAATCGTTCACTAGAGGTACTTTAGTCTTTAGAAGGCCAAAAGTTCACCCCCTTCTTCCTCAATATTGAAGAAAATTGCCAAAATATGTACATATTTGTACACGTAAAACACAGCAGGCAATAGCTATATAAAAAATGGTCTAATTAGTTACAAAATTTGTTTGGGTATTTTTTAGATATCGCACACTTACGCTTCATTATAAAATTACCAAAAAATATCATTAATCCTTTCCTACTTACATTTATAATAATGTTGGTACTTATACAATGAAAAACCATGACTCTACTATACAAATATGCTCCAAAAAGAGTTCTTTTATTTCTTAAATAATATTTATTAAATTCATTATAGTTATTTTATTGTTACATTATTTTTATATTGATCCGTATGTTTATATGTCCCTAAGTCCCCTCATTTCTAAATGTATCCCTGTACCAAAAGTTCACGAGACATTTTAAAGAAAATTATACTCAAATATCCAAAAGCGAAGCCTTTGCTAATCAAAAGCCTCGAAGAAGTTAGGAAAATGCGTGAAAAAAATTAAATGATCAAATCACGTTGCAAAAGAAATACTGATATATTTTTTGTTTTATTTAATTCAAACGTTTTTGAGATGGAAATTCTTATTTTGTGAAAAAAAGAGAGGCAATTAAATGAATTAATAAAACACTAAAAAGTTAGGACAGAAGTATGCTATTACGTGGGTTTGTAGGAGGAAAAATATAATATTTTAATTTAGCGCATAACGTTATCTATAGCTATACTATACGCTCGTGTCCCAAATTCAAAATCATTAAAATGTACCGCACACGTTTGCAACAATTAAAACGGTCGATGCCTTTACAAAAAACGGACTGGACGCTGACTTAATACATGCGTAAAAAAAGTGGGCTTTATTATTAATCGCGTAAACCCCATTTTGTATATGGTTTTTGCTGTGAAACTATTTGAAGCGTGTTAAGACAATAGTATGCATTTCTCGTTTGCTTAAGTCGAAACAAGCCCTTTCATGAGAGAATTAAAAAAAAAATCATCGGATTGATACTATAACCGTGTGCAATCACGACTTATGTAACTCTCTCGCTTTTTCCTTCCAAAGAAATGCAAGCGATAATGAATGCTAAACTCGTGCGATGTCCTTACACACCGGACGAACATTGAATGACAAACTAACCGAAAGCGATACAATTTTTGCTATAACGCAACGCATCAATTAAGACATTACATATTTTTGATATAAGACTGTACAGTGAAAAAAAAACCCAGATCGGTGCATAGTAGATGTGCGTACAATTTCTATGTTTAACAGCAAAAGACAATATAAGAATCAGACAACCAGTTAAAAAGGTGTCCAATGTTCAACACGACACACGAAAAACACATTCGAGTAATTATTATAAATCCGATATGTTTTTTCTGTAAAATTTTTCCCTAAGTATCTTACATGACTTACAAAGATAACCATTTATTTCACAGGATTTTCATTACACGATCTTGAATATTTTCTTATTCCCCAATTGGCCAAATGACATCTGTTAATTTGTCATACCCTTACTTGCCTCCTTAGTTCTACAGTTTAAACCCCTTACTAAAAGACATTCCTTATTTTTTCTGTTAAAAATGTAGCCATATTAAATTTTGTTCATATGTCTTTCAACACGAACTCTAATTGCTCTTCAACTCAATTAAACAAAGAAGTCGCTAAATTGATAATTTCCCGTTTTTCCCATTTTATTCTATTCCATAGTCCTCTTAATTTCCTTTTAATACCTTCCATAGTTGCTATGTCAATGTCGTTTGGGCTATTGCATTTTTTTTTAGTTATTTTTTATCCCTTCAACGTATTCTCGTAATATCTCACCATGATGTTTCAAAGTGAAATATTATACTAAAAATGTAATAATATCCTCTTAGATTTATAAAATAACTGTAAATGTCATGGAAACCATGGTGTACGGTAGATTATACGCGTGTTAGTTTTTGTTTAGCGTTTATTTTGATTTTTACTATTGTATTTACCCGGTTGACCATTATGAGTACATCTCGTCGGCGAGAGTACGAAAACTCGTTTGAAAACGATGTATGTATGAATCAAAAACAAACCAGAAAGTTGTACGATTCTATATTTTGTTTGGGCGGAAGTGTAGATGCCAATAGCGCAGAATTACTGACAACAGAATGGTATGACAACGAGACGAAAAACAGTATACCGAAAGAGATGCGCAAGAACGTAGAAAATCACCGTCCACCTCAAGAACTGCAGGATTCGCTATGGTCGACGGATCCGAAAAACGATTACCGTAGTCTCACAGGTAAATTTCTATCTACTATCTCGGAGGACGCCAGAGAGATTGACCCTACCGGGACTAGTCGTGATCAAACTGCTAGGAAAGTCACAAAGACGAAGACGGACAAATACAGAGCCAGTGATAAAATACATCGGCCGAACAACGTTAAACCATCAGCGAGTAAAGTTACTATTGAAGGTACCACTCCTGGTAAAGGAATTAAATCGGTCCATCGGTCGCGATTGGACCGTTCTGATCGAAAAAATATTAAAGACATGATCAACGTTTTAACGGCGCCTATTTGGATGAAAAGGGACCAAACTAAACCATTAGTGTACATGGCAGATAACATCGGATCGGATGCCGAAGACAAGCCCAGTCCGGAAAAGGATGCAATACCAGAAGACAAGACCAGTCCGGACAATGATGCCATAGCGGAAGACAAGCCTAGTCCGGAAGACGATGCAGTAATGGAAGACAACCCTAGTCTTGAAGACGATACGGTGATAGACAAACCTAGTCCTGAAGACGATGCGGTAGCAGAAGACAATCCTAGTCCTGAAGACGATGCGATAGCGGAAGACAAACTTAGCCCGGAAGGCTATGCAAAAACAGAGGACGCTTCTGGTTTGGAAGACGATGGGGTAGTGGAAGACGAAGGGTATCTTGACGAGGCAGCGTGGAAGCGTCGGTGGTCGAGAGATGTGGTCAAGTCGTTAAGAATGATGGAACACATTGACGAAGACTTGTCGGAGGACGAAGAGGACAATTGGGGGAAAAGTAAGAAAGAGTCGACCGTTTTGCCTCACGCAGCCATCGTGGACGCAGTAGAAGTTAGATCCGACGAAGAGTACGAGTATTTGGATACCGAGGGAAAACCCGAATACCATTATGCGATATACGTGGAACGACCAGATCAGCCGACTGATCAGGATACTTCTGGACCTCAACCGGTAGTGGACGAAGAAAACGCCAAATCCTTATCGCTCATACAACCGTTAACCGAATCTAACAGCGAAGATGAGTTCAACGAAGACAAGTTGTCGTCTCAACAGTGGGAAAACGAACAATCTGATGATTTAGATAAAGAACATTTTGACGAACAACATTTCAAGTACTGGTTACTGTCTCGTTTATTTGGGAAGGGTAGTATATTTGACAATTTGACACTACAATTTTCGACTTTATGCTATTTAATCGAGTCTCATAGTAAATAGACTGTTGTGTATGTGTTGGGATTCTATGAACAAATATCTTGACAACTAAAATATCTGCTTTACTTATCCAAAAGTTGCAAGTCAAAGTTTTTTTATATAGTAATTAAATTAATTTATATAAAGTCTAATCATTCTCATATCGTTATCAATTTCCCTACTTTACACTATTGGAGTATTATCTAACCCATTTATCTTTTAAGTTAGCTGTCATTAGATTGAATCGCATGTTTATTTTATTCCCATATGTTTCAATACATAACTAAATTATCTCTTCTAATTTAACTCGAATTTCGTTGTTAAAAATATTTGTTGAAGAAAGACTCAGGCATGTTCACAAAATAATAGACGACGAATATAAATGTATATTATTTGTCTATAGTGACTTATTATATAATAAAATAGGTCTAGGTTTCGATTTTTAAAAATTATTAAATTTCTAGGTAATTTGTTTCTTGTTTCAAAATTTAACTTGATTACTCTGGAAAATTCGCGGCCATGTTTAATATTTTCTATACATTTAAGTCCAATTATCATAATACTTGAAAAAAAAATTAATTTCTTCCTTTTAGTATAAAACATACGGTTAAGCTAATATATCAAAATGGTTTTACAGATTCAAAATCAGTAAGGTTGTGAATTAGTGTGGCTTATTGGCGTAAAGTGGTAAACAACTATTAGGTTTGCATCTTCTTGATTTTCATTTTAATCCCTTATATCACTTAATATATTTTTATGCTTTTTTTAAATACTATGATTTGACTATTTTTTACTGTTGTTGAACGTTATCAAAGTTGATACGGGATGATCAGCTGTTAACGATGAATTTCTAAATAAACAAATAATTAAAAGATAAGAGACTATTTGTTAATTGTTGATAAGAAAGTAATAGCTAATATTGAATAAAAAGAGAAAGAAAAAAATTCAATTACTTTTTCCTTTATGGTATTAATTTAAACAAAACTTATCAAGTTACGCTTATGTATATGTGCGTATTATTCTTAAATAGGGGGCATTTGAGAGACTGGGAAGTTCCCATTGAACCATTTCAACCAACTCCTCAATTGTCTTCCAACGAGATGAGCATAGGAAGCGCGATAAGACGACGATTGCATCCCGGATTCTATAATGTCACCAATAAATGTAAGAAGAGACTAGATTATGTTACTTTTTATGTTATTTTTACCGTTTTTTTTATTACAGGGGTATCGATGGGCCATTCGGAAGTTGTCGAAACTTCTGAAAAATCGTCAACGTCATTAAGCACTAATGAAATGGTTCAAACTGCTCGTCAGCTCAAATCACGTGAGCAACTATTAAATTTGTCAACATTTTTTTTATTTTACAAAAAAGATGCTATCGTTTAATCTAGACGCGACTGTGAGAATCGCCGACGACGTGCCGCCCAGTCAGTTATCTGAAACGGCTATGTTCGAAAAAACCGTAAACTCGTTGGGTATTTACCTGGTCGAAGGACTGCAAGAAACGTCTAAACGAGGCCGGTCAGATCCATTCCTATTTCTAGGTCGGTGGCTTTTGAATCATGCCGATTTACGAGACCGCATGGAACAAGACTTACTGAGTTCCAATGTTGATGATAATTAATAAAATATATTGATATATATATACTATATGTATAGATATAGATATATAATTAAAATATTTGTGATTGGCTTGATATAATAGAAGTAATACGAAAATTATTGTAAGTATATTAACGAGACGCTTAGGCACGATTTTGTCATTATAGTTACACGGGTTAGACATACTCGTATTGGTGAATTTTTAAAATTTATATTTATGTTGTAAATAAAGAGGGGAAAAAGACAAATAAAAGTAATTGTATTGTATTTGTTGTAAGTTAAACTATACATTTAATTCCTGACTACGTGTTTGGCGAGTTGTTTTATTCTGGGCGAGCACCGTGCTTTGAGCGCTTTCGGATTCACCTGGAACGCATCTGTTCTGACGTCATTGGCTTCGGCAATTCTTTTAACTGTCGGCGTGGCTAGTTCTTTAATCCTTTCGGTGGCTGCAACAATTTGTTTTTTTTTTTTGTGTTTATATTCAAATAAATAGATCAAGGACAAGGTGATGTAATTAAATGGAACCATAGAGAAAAGTCGTATACCTTAAAACAACATAGTCGCTCTAAAACCAACTGTCGGTACTTACACTTGTATGTGAAATGACAGAACATACAATATAAAACGTAGTTTTTAACAATATGTTTTTTCGGGTAGTTTTACATAGTATAATGCTAACAAATTACAAAATATAACCCATCGACAATAATATTATCAGACAATTAGGAAAGATTTACTAGTAAGAGAGAACTAGAGGAAACATAATAAAAATAATAAAATGGAGAGTGGGCAGTAAGTACATAGTTGTAGTAGACGTGTTGTGTTTTAAATTATTTGTGGTACCTATATTTTTCTTAATATAAAAACAAAAAACGATTTCAACGTTTGGAAGAGATATTAATTTAGAACTGTCGTTTTGTAATGACTGATCTATGAAATATATTCCCTGAAATACTATTTTTTGCCTAAGTTATAGCATCCCAAATTTTAACTTTAAAATACTGTAAAATTTATTACTATTTTCTACTATGAAAGATAAATTGTTTAACGTTTGGCCTTATAAAAGATTCCGATCTAAAGACAGAGTTGTTCGAATCATTCGAATAATTTTCAAACATATTATTTAAATAGTTTTTTAAGTATATACATTTTAAAACGTTATCTTATTTTTATATAAATTTCTTCTGTCCGTGTGTAAGTATGAAAACTCCTCCTGAACGGCTGGACAGATATTTATGAATTTTTGCGATTAAGTTGATTCGAGAAAGGTTTAGATTCACAATTTGATCCGATATAACATGTTTTTAATTTTAAATTAATTAAAATGATTAAATATGATTATCAATCGTATCAATAGTTATCAATACATCTCATCGTTTTTCATATCACAGGGATACAGTGATCCGATCAGCTGATTGTGTGTCTATTCTAATACACGGGCAACGCCGGGTCAGGACAGCTGGTTTCATATAAATATAATAAATACAACTTTTACAAAATGTGTAAGACCGTATATGTATATAGGAAAACAATTTTTTACACAAATAAAATGTAAGCAAATTATTCTAATAAGAATTTAAACAACTCTGTCTGCTGATTATATGTTACCATGTAATAGTTAATATACAAATAAACCGGTTTAGCGGTTAAAAAGATATCGTGGATCCACAAAAACACACAAAAATTGTTTGTAAATCTAAGTACATTATAATAGCTATATAACATTTACTGTTTCTATAGTACAGACCTTTATATTTTTTGGCAGCTAACAGCTTGTCACGCGGGTCGTAATTAATATCCATCAGAGTGGTTTCGTTTAACGGTTTTGGCTGAGACAGTTTTTGGATTCGATCACTTGCAATGTATTTAAGATTTGACGGTTTTATCTAAAGTACAAAGCTGTTCTAATATGTATTAATCTACGTTAAATATAATATTTGGGTGAATTGTATGTCAGTCATCAAATTACGGTGTAAATTTCTTCGTAAGTCTTTTCGTTATTGTTTGGCGGTCGATAAGCCGGTGTGGCCAAGTGTCGCAAATGCATAATTAATGTACTCAACGGTCTTTTCTCTCTTATCTGCAAAACTCAAAATATTATATTATTATTTTTACTATACTAATGGGTTTGTTTATAATAACTAATATTTTATTCACGGGCTCCGGTGAAGACGGCGGAGACTTTCTTGCTGCGGCCAATGTCTTCAACCTGGCTTTATGAGCTAACCATTCTTTTTCAGTTTTAAAACTTTTTCTCTTGATATTCTCTTCATTTATACTAAAACAGGCCTGTATGCTTTCTAAATTGCGTACAACCAAATCGCTTTATAGTATTTTTAAGAACTTACAAGTCGTCGTATGGTTTTGGCGTTGCCAACAGATTCAGTCGCGGGCTAATTTTTGCAACGTCCTTATTGACATTATTTTTAGGCAATTCGTCTAATCTGTTTTCCGAGTAGCATTTTTCGCAGAGAGCGTGTCCTTTTCGTGGCATTGCTAGAAAATCCAAACGATCGGTCATTTTGGCTTTAAGGGCTGCTTTAGGAACTGCCCATGGATCCTACGAATGTTAACAACCAACTATGACATTACAGAATCGTCGATTCTTCATTTAGAAATAATAAAACTATGTTATAATTATATATATCATACCCCAGCTGTTGCAATGGTTATAACTAAAAGCGATTATTTATTAATTTTATAAATGTATTTGAAGTTTAAAAAACAGTATTTTTCCTATCTTTTTAAACGCTTAAAGCAAAAAAATGGCTGTGCTTTGAACAAACGTTGGTAATGAAGAGTTTTTTCTTATAATAAACGTATAAAACATGTATAAATGTATAATGTATAAAACCCAATACGTGAAAAAAAGTTCATGGGAAAAACCTCCTAACAATGTTTTACATTAGACAGAGTCCAATGTTGTAAGCACGTTGAGATGCATTCAAAAACTTAATAGTAAATAAAAAATGTCCATAATTTTTACTCTATAGTAGATTTATAGCTAACAAAGTCCAAAGCACATAATAATTTAGAGTCGATGACTTGATGAATTTAGTAAGTACCTAATTTATTTTATTGATATACTTAACCTTTGTGCTTGGATTATGCATACGCCGGCACAGTGGTCTAGTAAGAAGTTCTCTGTGAACCATTTTATATAATGGATCGGTCTTTTTCTTATTGTTCTTTTTAGATTTTATTTTCACTGCTGCCACCATCGTTTTAGACTTAAAACAATTTTTTTATAACATGTTGATTTAAATACTTGTTGATTAGTAATAATTTTATAGTCAAAATAACATTATCAGCTTAACAATTATCTGGCAAACCTATTGAGCGTAAAACTATACAAAAATCACTACTACTAATTTTCTGTTACTAAATTATCTAAATTATCTGTTGTAAAGAACGCCATACTTTTTATACTAGATTGTAACTAATAAACTTATGTTCCAATAAAGCCCGACCATCAAAAGTTTTAGGTCTCGGGGAAAATAAACAAGGTAATTAGGAATTGAAACTAACTAAGCAATTCAAATTTTTTCTAAAAAACGATATTCTAGCCACAAAAATCATATTATATAAAAATATTTACTAAAAAATGATTAAAAAATAAAAATTTACAAAAAAGGATATAAAAAAAACAATAGGTACAAACAATTTAGAAAATAGTCTTTGAATTAAATTTTGTATGAAATAAGAGACTAGTATAATATTCGACCGTTTTTTTGGCTAAAAATCTACTGTCCTACTTAGACAATTAATTTATACTTGATTTGTCATGATATCATCTTGAGCGTTCATTAAAGCTTTCATAAGAAGCGTATTCGGATCTTCTTCGATAGCGTAAAACATATTTTTCAACTAATAAAAAACTTTAAAAACTTAAATTACTTAAACTCTTTACTTTAAAATGCACTCTTTTGTATTATTACATTTTTTACATGAAATATACTAAGATCGTTTCTGAGCAACGCACAAGTAATATATTTTATAAAACGTATGTGTTATTGTATAAAAATACATGAAATAAATTAAATTAAATTAAGGATAAATGTAAAATCTTAATGTGATTACGATTTAAATAATTTGTTTAGGATGTAATACAACTTTTGAAAACTCTATAGTAAGGAAGAGATGCAATAGGTCTTTCACAATTTGCTTCGCCAAAGTAATGTAGTCGAACGTAGTCATCGCAGGAAATCACACCGTCCCGGTTACAATCCTGGAAGAATGACGCTTGTAAGTAAAATAAAAAAATGTATATTGATGTATTTAGATGTTTTGTATAATTTCTTCATTTCATATTTTCATTGATATCATAACAAATTATATCGCTATATCATGTTATTGGTGTGAAATTGTACAATCTGTACTGTTAAATATTATAATATGGAATGTTGTCTATTTCATAATATGGAAATGTTTTAAGTTCATCGCTTTGCATTACCTTTGCATATCGTTGGATGTACTGGTTTACTGCTCTGGCAGCACAATACGGATCTCGTACACAGCGCTCAAAAGCTAAAAAACATAACGAAGTTGTTAGACATAATATCATTAAGTAGCATGACCTCTCGTTCAATTACCTCCAATTCGAGATGGGTCATCTCCTAAAAGAACGGGTGTTCCGGCATCTTGCCAATAAATGTCACTTAGCAAAAACACACCACAGTACTTGACGTCGTTCTGCTCGATACACTCGAGTGTTTGGTTGCATCCTGATGAAGCTTCACATATACAACCGATGCATTTCTCTGTCCATCCTGGTGGCCATTCATCTGCAAAATGCATTATATTTTAGTTAAAGACAAATATAATAAAAACGTATAATTGAAGCCGGTGATGTAAAAGTATTCTAGTACGTATTTTAAATTTAAAAAAAAACTGTATTTTAATAAAAAATAAAAAAAGCTTAACAAGTAGTATATTATGAATATCACGAAATGAAAACGTTACCAAGCCAAAAATTATTATTTATTATAACTACAACAATAATATTGATTAATAATAATTAATTTGTACCCTTTAGGGCAATAGAGTGTAGTTATTCCCTTTAGAATGATATTAAATATTGTTCTAGGATCGACGCGTTTACATCGTTCCAAAAGGCATAACTAACTTTAAAATACTTGCAAGTTCTAAATCCGTTAAGCAGAATATCTTACAATAGTAAAATAAAATTAATAACATATCCGTTCTACTAGAGCTAATTGAAACATACCTATGTTATTTTTTGACTTGCCCCTCCCTCGCCCTGTGAGTAAAATAAAATAAATTCTTAAAAGAAAGCCACATCGCCTTATTATTAAAAGCTAAAGTAAAGGTAGTTTTTCGATAAGACTTCAAATAAAGCTACAATTTTCTAGGTCATATAATATAAACATATAAAAAAAAATTCACATTGATTTAATATTTGTTTCCAAATCTTACAACGCAGTTGCTTAGCCATTATTGTATCAAAACATGTCTTCTAGCTTCTATATGATATGTAAGATGTTTCCATTTTTGTTTTTATTATTTTTATAACGACCTCATAGGCATACACATATTTCAATACCCTTGTACTTGTACAGTTGGAAACTAACTGGTACCCGGTACTCAACAATAGATTAATTATTATAAAATAATGCCTATACGATCAAAAAAAAAAAGCTGAATCATCATAGTGTCAGCTACGCTATACTCTTATTTGTTTGAATGTAAAAATGTGAAGTTGATAAAAAGGAGAAAGAAATGTAACGTGCAATATAATTTACTCGAACAAAATTATAGTTTTAATACTCAGGCGGTTTAATTTATTTTAAAAGAAAATCTAAGTACGCACTATAGTCAGTAATCACTAGCTAAATACAAAACTAAATTACAACTTCGTACAAGTTGTTAAACTCGGAAAGAGTTGGTCATCATAAAAGTTGTTGAAGAATTTTCAATTAAAATAGAATGAAAAACTGTTTCACTTCCAATAACTGAGATAAACCAATCAAGAAGATACGGGCATAAAGAAGGGAGAATTCCGTGATGTCGTTAACTTAATGGCATGCCATTTTGTAAACCCTGAAGCAGTTTTTCTGAGAAAAATACTATTGTAGAAATGCCAATGTATTATTCATTAAAAAAAACTTAAATGTATAAAGCTAAAGGAACAAATAATAATGCTTTGTCTTTGCTTGTTTAGTAAACTCACGTAATATGTTGAGCCGTTAGAATATGTATAAAATATTATTTGATATTGCATACATACAGAGTGATTCTTTTAACTTTAAGAGTTAAGTGTCTTTTGTTAAATGAATATGCACGTATTGTGTGGAGGATCTTTTCAAAATTAAAGGTTTTTAAATAGAAATATACAAATGCAAAAAAAAACGAAATAACATAATTTCAGTTAAATTGTTTTTATGGTAATAATACAGTAATCGTATTGAAATAAACAAATCTATTATTTAGAATGCTACCTTTCGCTATTTTAAACCCTGCATAGTCATACCATAACAGGAATATGTCACACCCATTTTTTATTATATGAAATACTGCGCTTTTTGCTATGTTTCTATTGCACGTTACTCTGTAATAAAGATCTGCTAAGAGCGGTTAAGTAACATTGCGTTTTTATAGAGAATTAATAATTGTTTTAAATTTCAGTATGCTTAAAAATGTGTACCTTAAATTACTATCCCTTTACAATTTTAAGAAGTGTTTGAATTACTTTTTCTGTACTTTTCAAATAATACACATTTCTACTGTCTTAGATACTATTTTTTTTTTTATTAATAATAAAATGTTTTCTAAAATTTATATTATTATAATATACCGAATATGTATCTATATTCTGCATAACGTAATTTGTTCATATCGAACACACGTTTTTTAGACGTCACCGAGTTCCTTACAGGTTAAGTATATGATGGCTAATTTCGCTCGGGATCGACGCACTGTATGATTCACCTGTATGGCGAACAGTCATCCGCCTGTGTAGGTACAACATATTATTAGCCGTTAGTAAATCAATTATCGCCAACGATTATAGAGTTAAACAGGCAGAGACGTCAGTTGTCCAGTGTAAATTACAGTTCCGAGCGAATAACAACCGTTTTGTGTATAACATTATCTTCTGGACCAATTAATGGAAACGTTTGTCCGTCGACCCTTGCCACGTTTACTTTACCGTTGCCACGATAGCTGTTCTTGTTTTGGGGATCACAACGGACAAATACGACGAACCTTTTTAAGTCTTTGAGTCGCGTTAAATAACAAACAAACTGTACACGCGATAACGGCGCAACTAATCTGGGCAACTTTTTGAATAATGTTTATTTGGTTTATTTCAACAAGACAGCCATAACATAGGCGTCCGGCAGTTAATCGCCAGATATCCTTGTATAGCGACGTTTACTCATAGCTACAGGTGATTTCGCAATAACGTGTAGGATAATATTATAATATTCTCGCGGGCGCTGTGGGACAAACCGACTGTCCGAAATGCTTCCCACAAATTATTATAGGATACATAGCATTATTATTTTCATTATTTTATCAGAAGCGGAATGCTGGTGCCACTATACTATAATAATATGTGACGCATGCGATAGCCCGCATACGCTAATGAAGTTAGCGAAATCATGCGTCAAATGGTCACCATTAAGATCGTAACAAAGGTAAATGTGCAATGACCGATGTGCTTTGGCGAAAATTTATCAAACCATTCGCATTCATTTGAATATTTAATGAACTAATACATCACAGAAATATACACAAATGTATGATATATAATATGTATGTTTATTGTATCATAGTTTGGAAATGAATTTATATTCCGGATACCTGCTGAAAAACCCATATACATGACGTACTATATCAAAAATAATATGTTTATAGCGCAACATAATATTATAATTCAGTATATTGAGTTTCAACTAATCACCAACAGCAAATAATAAGTATAATTAAAAAACAATCCTTAACTAAATTAATTCCTCAATTAATTTTATAAAATATTAATGCATTAATTAATATACATTTTTTTAAAAAACAATCATTTTGAGTGTAAAAATAAGTCATACTATGACACAAAACATCTTTATTGCTTTCAGGTGTTTTAAATTTGATAATTATGCATACATTTTTTTTTAATACTTCACATTTTTTTAATTTTATATAGGTTTTTTGTTAGTAGTGAGGGGAGCAAATTTATTAGACCAATGATGTTATAACTTTATTTTACATTATTTGATGTTATAAATAAAACAAATAATTTAAGCAATAAATTATACAAGCAATACTTAATATACATCGTATTGTTATATTTTCAACGATTTAAGTATCACAACTTTCCTATGAGTTTCTATATGCTACTTTTAAAAGTAAAGTAAAAATAACACATAGGTTTATATATGATTCAATAAATATATATACATACACAAAATGAAGATAAATTAAGCAAAATAATTATTTTTGATAATAACATTTAATTATGATTTGACCTTGAAAAAACGAAACGAATTTCATGACATAAAAAGTACCTATTAATTATTCCCCAAAAGTTAAGATCTAATTTACAAATTGTTTAGCTCACTCTATTTTAAAAACACGAAGGAACGATTGAAAACGATTAGGTGTTTTACCATTGGGTACTTGATATATAATAAATGATTTCAAGTTTGATAAATATTATGCAATTTTATGTAATAATAACAATTATTCATTAAAAATAAAAAAAAATAATAATTATTCATTAATAATAAACAATAATAATAATTATACTGTATAAATAATTAATATTTACTATATAGGTTAAGAAAATAAAGGATAATAATTGACCGACTGTGCTATAATCCGAGATAATACCACACTGATATAATTATGATTTTACAAAGGTATATAATAATATATATATATATCTAAACGGTAGCAAGTATCATTTTTAAATAGTTACCAAACGTGTACGAAATAAGACGTAAAAGCACTTTAAATACAATAAATACATTTATTATTGTTAATTCATAAATAAATGTGGACGTTATTCGATTTGCATGAGCCAACAGTTAACATAAAATGACAATAAAAATAAAATGTTAATTATTTGAGATCATTTTTTTCGTGATTGTTAGATACTAAACTTAATGAGGAATTATATCACAGGAAAAATAATAGCGTGATTTATACACGACGCGCATTAAAGTAGTTCCTGTTGTAGTAAAACAAATCAACAATAGGTAAATTCAATTAAATTAATTATAACGTACTGTATAAAGAATAATTAAGTTAATTTTTTAATTTTGCATCTTAATACTTTATCTAAATTTTTTAAAAAAAAAACGTTTATTTTTGTAAAAAAAAAGTTTTATTACAAAATATATAAAATAACTTTAATGTCGGAAAATGTTTTATAAATACATAATTTCAATTTTCCTTTGAATTATATTAAAAAATGTAAATAAACATCATAATTATTGCAATTAAACAATAATATGGCAAGGTACGTTTGCATAAAAATCCTACTGTTCATCGACTAGAACATAAAATGAAACCTACTTTGTTTACTTCAAACTACAAAACGTATGATTTAAAATTTTTAACAAACTCCTGGTCTATTACTTTTAAAAGTGTCCCTAAAAACGTGTATTATTTTGATTTAAATTAAAGATCACTCAAGATACAAACTTAAACGACATTAATAAAAGGTACCTAAATGTCCCAAACGATTAGTTTTTCTTATTTATAATTGTGGTCACGATAGGAACATATTATTCAGAATTAGATATTTTTTATTATGAGTTTAAAAGGTCGGTTTTGTTTTGTAAAACCAAAAAGCAATGATATAGAGCAAAAAAAATCTAATTTTAGAGTTAATCACAAGCGGCTACGGATATTTTAAAAGGTCTTACATCTGTTACAAGCGTTCCCTCAATGCACAAAATTTATTAAATAATACTGATAGTACAAAACGACACAAATACCTTGCAAATCATTTTGAGAGAAAACCAACGCCGCGCACAACACAGCCGCCAACAAAAATCTAAGTAGCACGCCCATGACTTCCAACTGGTCCGACGGATTTCTGCACAATGAATGTGAACACACAGGGTAGATGCTTCTTCCTATACCTAAAATAGCTGGTGCCCGCAAGTTGACGCTACAAAACCGACCTAGGTGTTCTCAAATTTCCCCCACTTTGCATTCACACATGACACTACATTACGATATAATGTATAGCGTTGTCGTCGACGGACCGGATGCGGTTTCCCCTACAAATACAAGAAAATTAATTTTTTCACAGTCTGTTAGAAACTACATGGGGAAAAAAGCGATAGTTTGTTACAAAAAGTGTCCTAAAGGTTTAAAACTCACAATAGGTTAAATTAGTGTACAGTTAAGAATAGTTAAGATCATTTGTGTATCAACAGTTCGGCATGTCCTATACGGAAAGGCTAGGATCAAAATTAAAGCTAAATTTGAAAACAAAATTTACCTATCGCATTTGTTCACTGTACTGTTCAGTAACTAATAAATAAACTAAAAAGTTTTACCATAGTAAATTTGCACGAAAATTAGTTTAAAAAAAAAAAATTAACCTATTAAGTATAACGGTGCTACGGTCGTGACCGGTTTTCGACAAAACGCTTACCGACAGTATTTCGAAAAATACTATACAATAATAATTATGGGTCATTACATAAATTAATAACTATTTTATCATTTAGACTCTGAATAATGATAAAATAGTTATCCTCTGAGAACCTCTGAATTTCAGAGGTTCTCGTCAGTTGAACAATTAACAGATTTGCTCTAACTTAACCGACATGTGTCCAAATCACACCTTATAATATAAAATAGAATAAAAAATATACTCGATTTACAAATCGGTTTTTTGATTGTAATATTTGTATTATTATGGTAGCCCTTACATAAATTGTGAACATACAGACTTGTGGTGTAATATAACAGAACTTTACGTTAAATTTTTGTTTTAGTCGCCGGCGTAATTTCAAGTCATTCGTGCAAGGATTGAGGAAATACAAAAACAAAAGGTTTTAATTAATTTCATTACGCAGAAGTAACTTCTGGTTAGTTAACAATAACGAGTACGTCATCAAGGATTTAAGAAAGCCTTTAGCGGTGCCATTGTTATTATGACATGTACTAGGTATACACTAGTGAAATTAAATTGTTTTTTTTTACAGGCCAAGATCAATAGGTATGCACAAAAAAATATTTAAGGATTAACAATAGAAATGGGTCATACAATGATTGTATAGTAAATAGTAAATACATACATATATATATACATATTATGTATCCATATATTATTATGTATTATATGATAAGTTATTAAACGTATTATAAAAATTTAATATTGATTATCATAAAATAGTAGGCAGTTAAAAAATAAATAATAATTGTGTCCAAGGATTAATTGATTTGTTATGCTACTGCTGGATTTTGTGGGAAGATTATGTTTTCGTTGGCTTGCTGTGTAATGGGAGATCCCGACAGTTCGTTCACTGATTTCTGACAGGTTTCAAATTTATTTTTGAAATTTTGACTTAACGGCGCCCTGCACCCGTAACCACCCAGTATGTGGATGGAAGCGTAATCCCAACAATCGACTTGGCCGTCGCCATTGCAGTCCTGAAAAAAAACTCATGGGATAAAGCAAAACGCATTCAACGTTGTTTCGAGTAATCCTGTTTTTACCTGAGCGAATCTGGACGTGTAAGCCAAAACCGTTTGTTTGGAACACACCAAATCGTTGGCACACCTGGCAAACGCTAAAAATAAAAATAAAACAATTTGATAAATTTATCCAATATGCTAAATAAATCGTTTTTAAATTTAAACCCAACAAAAAAGCTACATAATATAACAAATTAATAACAAATGTCCTTCTAGAGGTATACATCGATTTAAAAAAGTATTATAATATTGCGGGCTGACTTACCTAACCCGTTTCGAATTATATACTTTGTTTAATTCTTAATTGTATTTTATGTATTAACATTTATTATACATACTAGTAAGTATAATCAGTAGTATTATTCAAATAAATATTGTCTTTGTACCTACATTTGGTTATAATTCATTAAATAAATGTAATTTAAATACTTGTTCAAATATCCGATTTTAATACATCTGAATCCATGTACTTTAAAAATATGTTTTCGACTAGCTTAAATAGGTTAATAGGTTAAGGCTATAATAGATTAAATTGTTTTTTGAATAGTCCAGTGATAAACATGTTTTCGTTTATGAAAACATAGAAACTAAATTATCAGTTTTTATCAGTATAAAGTGTTAGTTCTTTGACCCCGGTCGTTAATAACAAAAATCGTTAAAAAAATGTAAATGTTATTAGTTAAAATATAATATGACTTAATAAATCAGTAAGTACAACGGAGACTAACATTTATATCAATCACGCGTATTGTATACAGCAGTATAGATTGGAATGGTCATGATTAATTGTGAATAAGTATTCAAACATTAAAAATAAAAGCCAGCACAGTGGGGTCGGGGCATAGTGGGGACGGAGAGGTCACAGGTCTACAGATTTTATTATAACTAAAAGTGATAAAATCACTTTTAAATAAACGTTTCGATGCGAATCTTTGGATTGTATGTTTAAACCAGTTATGGTGGTTTAGAAAATATCGTGGGACTAGCAATAATGTACTTAAAATTTAACATTTAGTCTTGTGCAGGGTGGATACGATAAGGGTTGATCGTCTGTCTATAAAAATGTACTGTCATAGTTACCCATACATCGCAATTAACAATATAATGAAAATATTTCATTACCTGTTGACTGTTGATTCACTCACACATAGCAACCTAGAAACTGACTACGGCCAAAGTGTAAATTTACCCTACTTTTGGTGTTTTTCCTCAATAAAAAAAAAATTTGACTACAGATTTTTGAGAAAATTGTATATGTTATAGTTCCATTTTAGATCTACCTTCGGTCTAATTTTCAGATCTAAATCTCTAAAACTTTGCTTGAAAAAGTGAAATAAAGAAAAAAGTTGAAAAATTTGTAAACTTTTTAGGTGTTTTTCTCGAGTTTGATGGGGAAGGGGTGACTTTTTTTAATTTTTGGCCTAATAAAGTACCTTCCAGGTATGATTCATAGAGTTGCTACACGAAGAAATCGGTTCAGCGGTTTACGAGATATCGTGGGTCCAGACACAAAAAAAAAAAAAATACAAAATAAAAACACATCATTGTAAAAACAATACCTTCTCAGCTCCGCACTAAAGCTAAAACATTATAATTTTAACTCGCCTAAATTATGAATACGATTGTTATTAAATAATAATTAATTTACACTAATAAATTTAAGGATTATAGGTTCTCACCTTAATTGCATTAATGAAATTACCAAAAACCTATTCCATAGTCTTTTATACCATTTATCATATATATATATAAAAATATAAATCGATGATTGCAGAAACAACATGAGTCACTTTTTTTATGAAATGGAGTTTTTAGTAGAAACACGTTCTAGTCATGTGTTTCTATTTGTTTTTATCAATTATTTAAAAGTTTTAAAAACTCGACTCGTGTCTATATATATATATATATATATATATATTGTATTTTTTTGGAGTTATTATACAAACAAATTTTAAGTAGGTAACACCACCCACACACACACACTTAAATGACTTTTGAAATGATTATCGCCACATACGATTCCGTTAATAGATACAATTTTGTTTAACATTTTTTTATAATAGTTATGCGACCGACATGAAATCATTTCAGACTAGTGCTTTTAGTTATTGTTTATTAAGGTTAAATAAAACGAATGTCAATTTGGCACCGACAGACATGCATGGATGTCCAGAGCATACGTACACTACAGTTTACACATGTTTTCCTACAACTTTATGATATTATACCAATGTAATGCGGTCTTACCTTGTCCATCGTTCGGGTTATCCCCATACAAAACCGGTTTTCCGGCGTCCGACCAATACGCCCACGTGATGCGGAACGGGCCGCATACATCTCCTTCGCACGTTAAGCTGCGATTGCACGACGACATAGCTTCGCAAATACATGCTAAACAAACCTCCGTTATGCGCACAAACTTAGGCGACTGCTGTTGTAGCTGTTCTTTTAGCAGCAGTTCTTGTTGATTTTGCTGTTGGACTTGAGCCTGGAAACGCTGTTCGTTTTGTTGCTGGACATCTAACGGTTGAGGTTGCTGTTGCAGTTTATGTTCGGGCTGTAATTGCTGCTGAATAAACATTTGTGACGAACCCGGTTGGCTCTGTTCTTGGATGTACAGCTGTTGTGACTGCAAGGGTTGTGCTTGCTGTTGGATTTGCTGCTGTGATTGGGCTTGTTGCGACGGTATCGACTGTGATATCTTTTGGTGCGGCTGTAGCAGTAAAATTTGTTGTTGTATCAGCTGTTGTTGGTGGAGTTTTTCTTGGATTTCTTCCTGCAGTTTGATCTGTTGCAATTGTAGTCGATCATAATCCGATTCTGGAACTAAACAAACCATTTCTCACGATTGATATATTATAAAACTAACGTATCGCAAATCAGTGATCATATGAGGAAAAAAATAGTTCATCGTACACGTTATTTAAAAATTTTAAACGAATCAATAGATATTTAAGGTTTCTCAAACATCAATTATTAGCAATATAGCTAAAAAATATCAAACAACTATGATTGGATATAAATCGAAGTTCTTGTGTTGCAATTGTTTAATTTGAAAACGTTTAAGTAAATGTCTAAAACTTAAAAAATTAATAGTTGTTATTTATTATTAAATATTTTATTTTTTAGCTTGTCGATATTATTAGTCGTGCATGACAAAAAGTATTTTTAAAAACCACTGTTGACGTATAGAAAGGAGACCGTCATGTTAAATAAAATTGTACTCTACTAACGATTGAATATTAAGAGTTATCAATTAATCGCATAATATCAATCAATTTAATAGCAGTATAATAATCACTCAACAGTGAATTTATTAAACGAATATTTGTATAATAAATATGTATTTAGTATTGAAATAAAAAACTACTTACAACCGACGACCAGACGAGAAGAAAGGGCGACAGCGCATACTAACGCAATGACTTTTGCCTTAATAAAACAATTGGAAACCATTTTCGGGTTTCCTTAGTTGCGCCGAACTCGACTTGATCGGAGTTCGTGAAAGAATAACAACGATTACCAATGCAATTGCCGTTTATAATGTAGCAGTCTCTTCGGGTAACCTCCACAACACGTTTTTATAACGTAGAGTTAATAGTGGATGATTTGTGTCCGCGTATCGTGACGCTTTAAACACGTCATATACATATTATAATATCTCATGGCAATGGTCATTCCCATAATAGTCGCATAACATTACTCGGACTTAGGATGACAAATAGTACTGTTAACCAGTTGTAATTTTGAAACGACGTTTGACTCATCGTCTAGCTGTAGGTGCATGCGTAGGTCAAGCTCTTGGCTGAATTTTAAACGCATATATCATTTAAATATTATATTTATATTTATTGTTTTAAAATAATTGTTTACGGATGAATAAAAAATAGTATTATTTACATTATATGTCAATGTTCTCATTCATTGAATTTCGACGTGGCATTTGGATACTTTATTATGACTGCAGGAAGTAACTATTAATCGCATAGACAATTATTAATGTGTAAAAATTAATCATTTGTCTAAAATTTAAATCTTCCCAAAATAAATTCCATACATTTTCTTTATCATAAATAAACCTACACATCTTCAAGACTATTCACGAGAACTCGAGGAAAATTATTCATTTTTATCATAATTTGTTATTTTGACGTTTTCTAAATGAAATCCCGCGGATTATTTACATAGTTTATGATTATTATTATTATTTTTTTAAATAGCTATATTCCTACTTTCGCTGTTTAAATAATATAAGTAACGACTCAAACAACAGACAAAATGTATGTTATAATGTAAAAATATATAGGCGTTATTTGTTCACTTTTATTCATTTACAGATGTTAAGCGCTAAGTATACACCAGTCTGTTTAACAAACGCACTATTAACCGCTTAAAATAAATATTTGCTCTTATCAAATGCAAGAAAATAAAGAATCCTAATGTTGAAGTTGTTTCGAACGATTAAGAAACTGTACGGTTATAATTTTTAAATGTACAGTATGTAGCTTTTTTCTAGCCTCAATAATATGATATGCGGAACCTACAGAAAGAGCGTTTTTTCTCTTTGGTATAATTATTATTATTAATAAAAGTTAACGAATGTGTTATTTTATATAATATGATACTGTCAGATGGACTAAAATCAACAAGATCTTAAATAAAGGCCCGTTTAAAAGTTTTCGTAAAATCCTGACGAATGAGAGCAGAAGTCAATTAGTCAGGGTTTTGTCTTTTGATGAGGGTATAGGTGTTCGGACAGTTACTGTTGTCAGGGGAGACATACACAAGTGCGTCAAAAACTCTAACTAATAACAGTACATGCAACATAATAATACTTTATTCTCCTAACCAGTAGATCAATTGCATCCATTATTCTGCTGTTGCTCCACACGTCGACACGCCTGGCGAAAACCAGAAGTCCCGCTGCCGAACAGTAGTCTTTATTTGTCGTTCCGTTTACAGTAGTAAAATTACCGTATGGTGTATAATTTTTGTGAACATTTACACAGCATATACATTATATTATTATGGTTTTCCATTGTCACGGCCGTTCGGTAATTGTTATTTTACGAGCTACTACCCACTACCGCGTATCTAAATGCATATTAGGTATAATATACTGTAATGTCTCGAAAACCGCCGCTACTGTAGGCATCCTACGTTGGTTATACGCGTATACAGTGTATACTATACACTATAATATAACATTATGAGATATCTATACATATGTATTATTATTATTATGAAAAATTCTAAACAACCTTGGCCGTTATCGGACCGTCGGCGACCGGATTCCATCGGCGAACTTACCTCCTCCCGGTGAGAATAGTTTGTCGTCACGCCGCCTTCACCTCTGCGTCCTGCTTCTCTAGGTCTTCTCCGCCGGCTGTTGCCCGTTTGACCCGGCCGCGCATTATCAGATAAAAAATATAGCCTACGTCCCACCATTATCGGTATATTGGCAAATGAATTCCCGGTGCCATAAGACGTACACAACAAACCGAGCAAAGTTATCATCCGTTGCCGATAAGACCTGTACAACTGCTGTAGTCGCTATGCGGTTTTTGTCGTGCGCAAAACCTGATATTATTACAGTAGTGGTAGTACCTAGCGGGCAGCTGTTCGGTGTAACAATACAGATAGCCTGCTGGTGTACTATTTAATATGTGATAACGTGCGGCGGTCTTCACGACACAACATCAGCAACAGCCAACAGGTATAGTGTTAATACAGCCGTAGTACCGCCATGTCGCACGACTCGTTCAGACACTGTTTTCTCACGTGCGCTGCATTGTTGATGATTGCGGCTTGGATGACCACGGCCACTACCGGCGGTAAGTACCTACCTATACCTAGCCGTGCCCCGTAGCAGTACATTATTATGTTGTTTAGTGTTTTGTTTTATTGTTTTATCCCGCAGGCAAATACGTGTCGAACCTGGACTCGACGTGCGTCCGGTGTCTGTGTCACGCGTCCACCCTGTGCAATTCGTCCTTTGGATGTTCCAGAGGTTTCTGCGGTCCTTTTTTCTTGCACCGCGAATACTGGAAGGACGCGGGTCAACTAGTGTTGCAGGACGACGACCCGGACCGGGACATGGCGTTCGTCGACTGCGCCCAGGACTTGGTGTGCGCTCAAAAAGTGGTGGAGAGTTACATGGCCAAGTGGGGAAAGGTGAGTTTTTTGTCGATTTCATGTTATTATTAATGACGTCTTGTCACAAACAGCAGCTTCGGGAATACAGTTTAAATATTTGTATGCGCCATGTGTTTACTCAGGATTTCGGACTAAACGTATAATATTTTTCTACAAAATCCGAATTAATACATCGCAGCTACATAAAACTACGTTGTAACTTGTACTGACCGTAGACTGTTTTGAAAATGATTCCCGTGTTCGCGTCGTCTTTGCTGAAAAAAAACTAAACGTGCATAGCCAATCCTACAACTCGCAATAACAACAATGCACTGTTTAATCGTCACCGATTCGTGGAATGTATTGAATATATATTTTTGTTTGAATAATTTTACATAATTTATCAATGAAAATACGTAATAGCACAAGCAAAATACCCAATATTTATTTATACATTAAGAGCTTGTTGGATTTAAATAAAAATTATCTTTTGATAATAATACAAATTGCATGTATAAAGAGAAACCAATAACAATTGTACAACGAATAACAATACATATTAATTGAGAAAGAAACAATTTATAATAATACAAATTTCAAATCAGGTAGTTACAAACATAAAATGGATATTATCCATGTATTTAAAAATCTTAATATAATGCTTTGTACTAGGTAGTAGCATTGACTACCGTATGAAATCCGTCTGTGTATTAATTTTAGGTAATTATTGGAATAATGCTTGTTATCCAAGGCGGTCGACTAATTTTAATTACTCGGCACTTAACCTTAGAAATTCAAGGTATAACACAGACCGCAAAAATACTTTTTGGGCTTTATACAGTTCAAAGCATTGTTAATAACAAATCAGCCATCTATTTGAAATATAATTTTTTCTTTGTTCTACATAGTAAAGACTAAAAGATCCATGTATTGGTTCCAAACACTTTCAGAATCGTATGCAGCTTTTATAAGTTATTATTCATAAAATATAATAGCCGATCGATAGTATAGAGTTTTCAACGCAACTCGTTTAGTTATAATCTATTGCAATTTAGATTGGAATCATTCACGGTTAGGTATAAACAAATATTACTCTGAATATATTTGTATTATTTAGAAAAAAAAAAAATATATATATATATATATGTACAGGTAATCCACTTATCGCGAACCACTCAATATCTCATAGGGTTTAATAATAAATTAAAATTGTTCACATTGCATAAACAAAATATAAAAAAACAATTTTAATTTATTATTAATCCCTATAAGATATTGAGTGGTTCACGATAAGTGTATCACCCTGTATATAAAAATTTATTTATAGCTAACCCATCATTTTATATGTCTCGTTCATTTTTTTTAAATTTAAATCAATAATCCAAAGACCAAAGTACCTGAATTAAAAATATATGTTTTTATTAATATAAACTCCAATACATTTTACACTAACCATTTGCCAATACACATTATATATATATATATATATATATATATATATCTTAATCAATAATCCAAAGATTATTGATTAAATTTAAAAAAACAGCACGAGGCATTTTACATTGATGTGTTAGCTATAAATACATTTTGATGGCACGATACCCTAGATGTAAAATAATTATCTATCTCTCAATTTATTGGGCCATTATATTATGTTTAAAATATCTGATGAGTTATCGGAATACAAAGTCTATTACAGATATTATTTTATTAATTGTTAGCTTCCATGCGTAGATGGAAAATTATTGTTTTTACAATGGTGTGTTTTTAGATAATTTTTTTTTGTCTGAACCCACAAAATCTTCTAATCCGTTGAACCAATTTTTTATGTAGCAACTCTATAGATCAGAAATCGTACACGAAAAATACTTTATTGAGCCAAATACTGCAAAAGCTTACCCGTTTCCCTTCAAAATTGGGAAAAGCACCGCCAAAATGTACATATATTTCAAATTAAAACTACCGTGCGCAATAACTTTTTTAAAAATAGTCGAATTAGATCTAAATTTATATGGAATATTTTTTAGAAAAAGTATTATCCATTTTCGTTGACAAACTAAACGAAATTCAAAAACACTTTTCCCCTGAAGGAGAGGAAACTTTTTCTTTATTTTGCTAAATTTGTTCTAAAAAGGTCATTTTTGTATTTAAAACTACCATTGTTGTTCTCAACATATATTAAATATAGAAATAATGGCATAGTTGTAATTTAAATATAATAAACTATATTTGATTAACACAAATTAACTGTGCAAAACAGTAGTTAAAAAAAATTGTAAATCTGTGCCACTTTAGTATTTAGATGTAACACATTCAAACCTCACTCCGAGTTGATGTGCGCTATTTATGAATTGATGTTAATAATATGTTATCAGAAGGGATCTTCAAACATAAAAAATATACAGTTATAGTTTAATTAACGAATGAAGTCATCGAAACAAGGTAGTGTTTTTCTAACAAACAGTTGTGAAATTGAATAGAATATAGCAAAATGGCAAAATTTCATTAATGTATTGAATGTATATTGTGCATAATGTTGCTAATGGAATTACTTATTTTTATTATTATTATTAAAAAATAATTATAGTGCGATTTGAATCAAAACAAAATGTGGATAACATAAAAATGAATACACAATACAATAAAAAATTATATAAAATAGCTTTTGTAGCATTTGCCTAGTTCTTGAGTTTATATAGGTTTTAAAATTCACTCTTAGTTTTTTATTATTTTTGCTATTATTGAATACGGATGATTTATTGTCTTTTAAAACTGTTCCTGATCGCGTTTTTTTCTAACCGTTTTGATTTTTTAATAATAATAATATGTTGTGAGTTGTAACACACATTCGCCTAGATATACTTATAGAGCACGTTAAGTCACATTAACTGTATGGTATTTGTATACAATACAACTATATTATATGCCCAAAATAGTCGAGGGCTCTTGGAAGGGGGGGGGTGGTATGTGTTTCAATATTTATATAATATTAACAAATTTTGTTATATTTAAAATGATTATTAATTTATTTAATATATTTTTACTCAGGACTGTAATCAAGATGGCGTGACCGACTGTGACGACTACGCCAGAACGCACTTTAGCGGACGCGAAGACTGTTCGCCAATCGACAGGACTAACTTCTGGAGGCGATACGAAACGTGCCGGCCTGGCGCCAAAGGTGAAAATCTAGTGCATTAAAACTATGAAATAAGGAAATGCAAAAAGCTATTTCTCTTTTAAGTCGAGTCGTTAAACAGTTTCCTTAATATATAGGGTACTTTTTCAATTTTATTGGCCTTGGAGGTTGCCCTTTTTGTGTCGATTGTGATTTTACAGTATTATATTTTACGTTTCTTTCTTTGTGTACTGTGCTTTATATTTGAGTACTTGTATGATAGTACTGGAGAACGCGATGGTCGTGACAGACTATAATTATTTTACCAATTAAATATACACGAATCCTATTGAGGAATAACTGAACGTTTTTAATGAAAATAAGTATTGTTGATGTTGGGTATTTTCCCGGGAAAAATATCAAAAAAACAAATTAAACTTAACCCTAATAATTTAAGCAAGGAGTGGCTAAGTGAATTTAAGGCGTAGTTGGACAATTTATTATATTATTAGTGACCCTGGCACGCGCCAGGTTTTCAGACGAATATAGTCTACTTTTATAGATTATATAATAATTAAATACAAAATTCTGATCTTAAGTAAAAGTTTAAGGTATCTATTTTTATAACTTATAATTACTCGAGATTGGCCTATTCATTTTTTTGTTCAACGCCGCTAAGTATTGTTTTACAAAAAAAAAACATAAAGTGAACCGCTGGGAAATTATATGTTGATGCGTAGGACAGTTTGGCAGCGGGAAAAAGAGATATCTGGTGCACGACCAAAAGATACGTCATCATTGATTCGCGTCGAGGCAACTGTGTGACGTGGAATGTGTTTCAATTAAGAATATTAGTATCCCACAAGTAGACCTAAATCAGTAGATTACACGAGTTGCAGTTGTATAGCTATAGTTGTTCCTCAATAGCCGAGGTAACTAAATTGTACGTTTTAATTTTTTTTTTTCATTGTGTTTGTGTGCTAAATAACTATATTATTCTATACTTCTAACACGGTTTACACGTTAATATTAATAATACAAAAATAATTGTCACATACGAAACGTAAATATATAAATAAATCTGAAAATAATATTGTCCGGTACAGAACATTTAAGATGAGATAATTAGACAAAAAAACGGTCTTTATTAACTTTTTATTTATTACAAATTCAAGTACTAAAAGGTTTACTATTATTATAACATACATTACGTAATAGATTATACAGTTTTATAAATAACTGATACCTTAAGACTGTATTAATGTTACGTTGTCGGGGTACATAATGATCGTTTGACATGTCTATAATATTATATAATATAAAATTGGTCGTTTTGCTAAAAAAGGAACATTATCAGACTTTATTCGCCAAACTAATCCTTAATACAATGACAACTCCATAAAAACTACTAACACTGCTCACTACATGTATATGTTCACAGTACACGCGTTAATCACAGAAGTGAGGGGATTTATAGAAAAATCTAGTGGAAGCCTTTTAAAATTATATTGTTATAAATGTAATAAGTAATAGCTAAAAGTATAACATTAATAATGATAAAACATAACTTCGTCCCACAATACAATTAATTCAACGTTTTAAGATTAAAATTATTTTAATAACAATTATTTGAAAGTTTTTTTTTTAAATGTTAACTGTTTCACTAGAGCTTGTATCTTGTCTTAGCTTAAGTCTTGGCCAATAAATTAATTACGATCACGTTTTGCATGAATTTTCCGTTTTCTGTTAATTTTATTGTTTACTTATTATTTGTTTTTTTTGGTTTCAGGAACTTTGGACTGAAAACTTGAACATTTTATGAACTGCTTTATTTTACTTTATCATTTATTATTATTATTTTTATTATCTCTATTATTTTATCACAAGATTTATTTTTTTATTTATATTTTTAATAATTTGAATATGACGTTGATTGCGCGCTGAAAATAATAAACAAAAAGTCATATTTATTTAAACTGTAATACTATAACTTTGTGCTAGCAGTCTATCTTTTTTTTTTTAATAATAGATGTAGCGAATTCTTGTTCGAACAAAAGGAATTCGATAGAGGCGTTTCGCAGTTCCAGAATTTAATAATAACCAATCCGTACTTATTATTTGACCAGTGTTTACTACAATTTTGCAGTTTTGAAGCGGAGATATGTCCAAAATTTGAATTTTCCAAATACTTTTTTCAGACCGGTTTTAGATTGGTCGTTACACTTCTGTTGAATATTGGTCTTTTTGTTCGATTTCCTGAAAGATAAAATATTATTTAAAAGAATAATTTTTAAGTTAAAACTATTATATTCTACCACATTTGTACTGCCGTTATTTAAATATTTTTTGGTTAACTAGGTATAAGTATGAATACGTTTTCGTATGTACATTATATTAAATGTTGGTTGCTTATAAATTATAATTTGTAGACATCACAACGTTATACGAATAAAATATGGTTTCGCTGTGCATGCAGCTTAAAAATAAAGCCTTGTAGTATTTAGGAAGTCTGCTTTAAGGTTGGGTAATGAACAGAGTTATTTTGTTTTAAATGTCTGCTTAGTGCGATAAGCTTCCTATTAATAGTGCGGTTTTTTGGCGTCGCTATTTGTGCAGAAAAAGAGATTATAAAAAGAGTTAATTATTTTAATACAATTTGATATTGCCTAGGCCCTAGACGGTGCCGACGTTTGCGTGTTGTTGACACGTTTTGCTCCTTTTTTTTTTTTAGTTAATCGCATTTAAGTTTATCGCATGCGTTACACACAAATAATAATTATTACTGCCAGGACAGCATGCAAATGAGTTTTTATACTTGTACTCTGCGCGTTGGCTGTCGACTTCTGTGGTGGCCTGGAGTGCTCCTTCGGGCCAACTACAGACTCCGGGTCGGTTTTGACCTGTGTTGTGCGATTGTCGCCCGACCGTCGCCGTGGATCTTCTTACTGTCTTGTCTGGTCCGACAGATCGAGACCGTAAGTTCAAAGCTACCTCCGGGGCACGTCTCCTCAACTTAGCCGGCAAGCTGTGAGAACGCCCTACCTCGTCTCTGGAAAAGCCCTGGATCTGTTGATCCGACGACCTTTTCAGTCTTAATACCCTGGATCGGCACACCACGCATCGCAAAGGCAACGACCGACGGGACACGGCCATCTGAATGGTCCGTACCAAACATTTACGGCACACTACTCTGTGTCCACAAGGCCAAGTCTGCATAGTCGCCTTCGAATTTACGCATATAACGCACTGGAAATACAAAAAAAAATAAGCTAAACAAATGTATTTGTAATATTACTATATTGTGTCTAATATGTATATAGGTATTCTGTATTTCTGAACAGCCGAAATTTCTGTACAAAAATCTGTAAGGAACGGCTGGATTGGACGCTTGACAAAGCAAGGAGAAAGAAAAGCTAGTCTTTTGTTAATATAAAAAAATTAAAAATCTGGAATAATAAAAATAAGTTTTGTCATAAGAGAACACAGACCCGTAATACAGCGCTAGAATGAGAATATAGCTTAGCAATATTGTGTAGGCTATAGGCTAATGTTAATGATAAAATAAACCATCGACAAGACGGATACAATCTTTTTTTGTGACGCTAGATTAAGAGATTATGAGAGTTTTGTGCCACACTATACTCTACTATATAATGTAATGAAAATAAAGAAAAGGTCGTTGTAATCTATATAAAAGTTGTCTACTCAAATTTTTTGATATTTTGGGTTAAATTGAAACTCATAGGTACTTGTATAGTTGTATGGTGTTTTTATACATAGTGTAAAGGATATAGTATGCTATTAATATTCATATTAATAAAAGTTTTTCTAATTCGAGTTTATTTGTAAGTTTATTTTTTAATAATAATGTTTTAATAGTGTAATTAATGTCGAAGACTGTTTCGGAACCAATGCTTTTTACTCTATATACAGCTGTTCGTTTAACTCTTGTTAACAACCTTAACGATTAATAATTAGCACCGTCTAGTCTATTTAGAAATGCATTATGAATAATAGTCTCCTAGTCATTATTCATAAGCTTAGCACCGATAGTATTTTAACGGGTACACAGAATTGTAGACACAATGCCGGAATAGCGTGCCATCGCTTCGTATTTTACCAAGCCGATTGTTTGTTACCCCATTGGTAAATTTCATACACGTATGTACATATTATAATATATATAAAAGCAATATTTTTATTACTATCAAATCATATTTTGTATTCATATATTGTATTAAGTCACGTTCGAGTGTAAACACGTATTTCAGAAATGTATTGACTTTGGTTAGGTTTTCAAATAATAATAATAATAATATAAGCAGGGAAACGCCTGCAGATAAAGGAAAATTAACCGCATAGACGGTAGACAAGAGACCGCCATTTATAATAGGTGTCGTAAGTATGCAAACGGGTAAGTATAAAGTAACTACCGCAATAAATAACTTCGAACCGATTTCGTTATCTTCCTTTTAGGTTTCTAGCAGGAAATGTGATTTAAAAAAAAAATCTATTAAAGCTTCGCTATTCTTTCCAATATAATGTTAAAAATTGTAACTATAATTTAAGTAAGTACGTAATAAAATCGGTCACGAATCACGATTAGGTACTATTTATAGTGCACATTAAATTAGTGAAAAACAGATTGTCAAATAAATTGTTTTATAATATCATGGATCACGCTTCGCCGCTCCAGGAACTAATGTGATTTTTTTTCAAAAATCGTTAATTGTCATTTTGTACAATACTACGTCAAATAAGGTCAAACAGTCAAACAAATGACTTGTGTCTCGACGCAGTAGCAGCTAGCACATAACTGGTCTGTTATTCATAATTACTGTTTTTATAATTATATGAAAATGTTTTCAATGTCATTAACAAGAAAATATGACTAATCGTTGTAACTATTGATAGTAGTTTGTAAGTTACACTTATAAAAATGAAACTGTTTGAAATATATTCATACGTTGTAATGTCAATAACATTTTGTTTCGATTTGACGTTTAAAGCTTCGATGCAATTAATTTGTTTTAGAAAATTATTCATAGATTCGTACTTATATAGTTAAACTTTTTTTTTAATTGGTATAAGTATATACAGTGTGATTCTTTTATCATGAACCAGTCAATAACTTACTGGGTTTAATTAATAATTGAATTTTTTCATATTGTTTTTATACAATGTGATCTCAATTTTTCACAATTTTTTTTGTTTTTACCGCCCTCCCTACTTAGATTTTTTGATAGCAACTTTTGAAACTTAAATGGTAACGTATATATTTTATTACCTTTTTAAATAGAGAATAATGTATTACAAATTTTAACTGGTCGATAACCAGTTTCGGATAACTATTTTTGAAGTTTTAAGAGTTTAATAGTTAGGATGGGAGGGGAGTGCGGTTGGGAAATGCGCGCAGATAAAAATAATACTAAACTCCACTTCCACTCCCATCCTAATTTAAAAACTCTTATAACTTTAAAAATAGTTATCCGAAACTGGTTATCGACTAGTCAACATTTTTAGTACATTATTCTCAATTTAAAAAGTTGATAAAATATATACAGTGGGTAAAAAAAGTCTCCGTACACTGTTGTCAAATTTTTTCAAAAACATAAAATGATAATTTAAAAGTTGATTAACTTCATATTTTTAACACACTTTTATTCAGAAACATATTAATATTTGTTTTTAGAAAAATAGAGCATATATATTAATTAGTTTATTTTATACATGTATATATGTACAACAACTTTGGAAAATAACAGCAAAAAAGTCTCCGTACATTTATTGATGTGTATGAATAACAGATAAAAATAGTACCGGAATAGGAAAAATCCGTAAGGACTGAGAGTTCTACATATCAACGAGCATGTTATTATTGTTTTTGTAGCCATTAAGAACGATAGACATACGCTTAGTCCGTTTTATTCAATTCATATACATTGAACAATGGAGATACCAATTGCTATTCGTAAATTAGTAGTTAAACTAAGAGAAGATGGTAATTCTCTCAGAAATATTGCACAAACAATAAATAAATTGCACTCGACTGTACAATATATTATAAACCGATACAACGAAACTGATTCTTTTGAAGATCGAAAACGTACTGGTCGTCCCCAAAAATTGAAATCACACCAAAAGAGGGCCATTCTAAGGACAATTGTGACGGAACCAAAAACCAGTGCACCTAAACTGGCTGGTATGATTGATACTGACTATAATGTGAAAGTTGTGCCTCAAACCATTCGTAATGTTATTAGAAACGCAGGATATAAAGGTTGTGTAGCTAGGAAAAACCCCTTTATCAGTCAAATAAATAAAAGGAAACGTTTAGATTTTGCGAAGGCACACATTCATAAGGGAAATGATTTTTGGAAATCTGTATTATTTAGTGACGAAAGCAAGTTTAATATTTTTGGTTCAGATGGGCGAGTTATGGTGTGGAGAAAACCTAATAAGCAGATGGATTGCAAAAATTTGTGCCCAACGGTAAAGCATGGGGGCGGTAATGTACTAGTTTGGGGTTGTATGAGCGCTGCAGGTGTTGGTAATTTGGTATTTATCGATGGTATTATGGATCAACATGTTTATTTAAACATTTTGAGAAATAACTTACATGCAAGTGCTGAAAAACTAAATATTGGCAATTCGTTTATATTCCAACAAGGTAACGACCCAAAACATACCGCGAAAAAAGTTAAAGAATGGTTGTTATACCGAGTACCAAAACAACTTAACACACCTCCACAATCACCAGACATGAACCCTATAGAACATTTATGGGAGGAAATAGGTAGACGTCTTAAAAATTACCAAACTCGAAACAAAGAACAATTAAAAAATGCAATACTAGAAGTATGGAACAGTATTGATTCTACTGTTACGACAAAATTAGTAGAATTAATGGGAGAACGAATGCACGAAGTTGTTATAGCTAGAGGAGGGCCAACTGACCATTAATAACGATAATTATTACAATATATCATGTTAAAAATATTTATGTTATTTTGTACGGAGACTTTTTTTGCTGTTATTTTCCAAAGTTGTTGTATATATATACATGTATAAAATAAACTAATTAATATATATGCTCTATTTTTCTAAAAACAAATATTAATATGTTTCTGAATAAATGTGTGTTAAAAATATGAAGTCAATCAACTTTTAAATTATCATTTTATGTTTTTGAAAAAAATTGACAACAGTGTACGGAGACTTTTTTTATCCACTGTACGTTACCATTAAAGTTTCAAAAGTTGCTATCAAAAAAAACTAAGTTGAGAGGTGTCTAAAAACAAAAAAAAAATTGAAAAATTGAGATCACATTGTATAAGAACAATATGAAAAAAAAATTTTAATTTCTTATTAAACCCTATGAGATATTGAGTGGTTCATGATAAAAGAATTACCCTGTATAGTTTCCACTACCGGGTAACTTTGTACAATGAAATTTAAAGCCGATGTACAAACAAGCCAGTGGATTTAAAGAATTATAAAATCACTTTCAAGAAAAATCATAGATATCTTCCTTCATAACCGTTGACCGTAGGTACCAATCATCACATCGAAGCGTTTAAACAATGATTATAGTGTTTAGCGTTTACATTTTGTGATTACCGAGTCAAGTCAGTCAAACTTTGTTAACTTCTTACTATGTTTGTCTTTTTATCATCTAATATTTAATTTATATAACCTTGAATTTTTTTTCAATGTTACAAATTTAGTGAACGAATAATTTTATAACATAGGATTAATATATTCAATGTGTATGAAATTCGATCGGACAAATTAAACTTGTATGGTATATCTTTCCTATTTTTTAATCAAAGTATGATTACTTAGAATTTAGATTATTGACGTAAAATGAGAATTTGGTTTTGAAGAAATATATATATACTTAATACCTATACTTTCATAATAAGCTGCACGCAACAGAAATAATAAATGACCAACAGTATATTATGTTTATGCTATATGGGGAAAATATATAGATATTGTGTGTTAAAATATCAAACACCATTAAGGTTAGGACGTTTTGTTTGAGTAAAATAGGTTTCTGTTCTAAAGTAGACAAAATGTTCTTTGTAAGTAATATCGAAATATTATGAAGTTTAACTATAATGAGAAAGTTATGTAAGATTGTTAATAGGCTCTATACTAGTGGAGGTAGGCTGTAATATTAATATTTAGAGTAAATTTACTACCATAGTGCTAGTTTAAAAAAAAAAAGAAAAAAGGAAGTT